TTTTGATTCGGATACAATTTGAGTCGGATATATTTCGGTTTCGGGTCTAGTCCGGTTCGGATATATTTCGGTTTCGGATATATTCGATCGAGTGGACTACAAATTATGAAAAAATATATTTTATGATGATATAAATTTAATATCATAATATTAATTTTAAAATTTAGTTTTGATATATTAAAATTTTATCACTTCAAATAATATTATGAGTAAATTACCTAAATAAGGCTAAAACACAATGGCTTTCCAAATATAGGACCATATGTTTTTATTTCCCAATGTAAGACTTTTAGTCATTATTAATTAGTCATTATTTAAGTAAATGTCCATTATTAATTTATTATTGGCCATTATTCCTCCCACTAAGATATTATAAAGTTCTCTATAAGGAATAAAAAAGTTTAAGTGCTAGATTAAGAAAGTAATTATGTTTTAGTATTATTTAGTGCAAATTTATTAATATCTTTAGTTTTATCTTTATAAATGAGTCGAAGCAACTAGTTTTTATCTCGTGCTTTGCACTGACTCGCATACTTTTTTTATAAGTATAGCTATTTAAAAATGGTACTCCGTATTATATTAAAAATTTTAAAAGCATAAATGGTACTCCGTATTATAGTAAAATTTTAAAAGCATAATATGCTTATTGAAAGGAAAACATACTTCCAAAATTATCTATGTAGGTTCTAATCGGTTTCGGATATAATCGGTTTCGGATCTAATCGGTTTCGGGTTTTATCGGTTTCGGGTATTATCGGTTTCGGATCTAATCGGTTTCGGGTTTAATCGGTTCGGATATTTTGGTTTCGGATCTAATCGGTTTCGGATTTAAATCGGATATGAATTATTTAGTTCGGTTTCGGTTCGATTCGGGGTTTTCGGTTATAGATCGGATCTTCATTTTTTGGGTCATTTCGGTTTCGGTTTCGGATATTTCGGTTCGGGTAATCGGTTCCGGTTCTGTTTTGCCAGCTCTAAATATAATCCATTAATCGTATCACTACAAGTTGGCACATCACCACACTGTGAATCCTAAGCTACCACAACCACTAAAGAAGCAGAGAATAAAGCAGAAGATAAGCTGATGGAGTATTAGAAAAACGAAGAGGAAATGCTGCTACTACCCAGCCACTTGCAACACAACAGAGTTGAAACCCCGCATCGAGAATGCAATGTGGGAAAGGAGCAGAAGACGAGACCAAGTTTTAGCCTTCGATAAATAGAGAGTGAATTTCAACCCACTCAAACTCTCAATTTGGGCCAAGGAGAACTGCACTCAATCGGTTTTGTTTGTTTATCGTATAAGTTTATCCACATAGTTAATACCCGAATTTAGAGTGTAACTCTTATAGCAAAAAATCTATCATGGACCTAAGTCCCACAAAGTCCACATGAACCTTCTAACCCAAATATTCATTTTTTTGATAAAAAAAGTAATTGAAAAATGATTATCACAATAGTAGTAAATAAATGCTTATTTGACTTACATGAACATCTACCAGAGACCTTATGTCCAGGCAAGAATTTGTCATTCAAATAAAGAGGAAACAACCCCTCCTACCATACCTTACTACTTCACCCTCCAACCACCAGCGGATTTGACACCACATCACACGCTAAACTTACATCGTATGCTTCTGTCCTCAGCGTACATAGCACACTTCTTTTCCCGAAAAGGCCTTTAGAACCTTTTTTTATCCGTTTCGATCCAGACTTGAATTCTTAAGGCTGCCTTAGATGAACTATTGATGTCTATTTTCAAACCAAACGAGACAAAGACATATTAGGCACCACATTTATTTTCACTTTTTGCTGTAATGGTTTGTTTACTTCTTGATTCATTTTTTTCTTCTAAATTCCATTGTTATTCTAAAAAAATCGTATGTACACTGAGATTAGGAAAGTAAAGTGATAATTAGAATGGCAGGGGTAAAAGAGTCAACCATTCATACCATTAAGAGGCAGTCGCGCTAACACGGCTAGATGGCATAGATTAATTATTAGGGTTTATTTGAATTGGGAAATTGCCATATTTAATCCCCATTAAACTCTCGCCGCCAACTTTATCAGTAAGCTTTCGGGTGGATTTGCGGCGGCCACGCGCCTTGTTTCCAATTACAGTGAATTTCTCTCATAACGCTTTTAGCTTTTTGTTCTTCAATTCGAATCTCTGTCTGCTGAATTGAAGACCGATTTCTCTCAATTGCTTTCTTGTTTTTCTTCAACTTACATTCGATTCCCTGTAATTGTGCTGAAGAGAGGAGAGATAATGGTGTTCTTGAAAGAGGAAGAAGAATATGATGATCTTCTTCATCTTCTTGATTGCAATCCCTCCAAGAAAAGGTCTTTGTAGGCCAAGAACCGGCCAAGATGTGACGACAATAATAATGGGTTCTTGAGACCAGCCTTTCCTCTCCATCTGCCGCGGCAAACAATGAGTCGCTTCGACTGGATTGTGCTTGCTGCTGAGATTGCCCAGCAACAACTGGAGAATGAGGAGGAAATTGCTCTTGAAATTCCTCCACATGCATCAGAGGAGAATGAGAAGAAGAGGAGGTAGAGAAAGGCTTCTTCTGCAAGTCATCCTCCTCCATTTCAATCTTTATCTTTTCATCTGCCATTGTTTCCATACATGGCTGAAATACTGATCTGAGATTGAAAAACCAACAACGAACTAACCTTTTGACAGTGGCTAACCGGAACCCTAGAGGTGGCGACTAAAGAAAACCCTAGCGGCAGCGGCTGTTCACTGGCGGCGTGGTTACTGTTTACAAGATAGTACAACCGTATTCTGCAGCGGAAACTATGACGGTGGTGGAACTGATCTTCAAACCCTTTGAAACCCTAACCTTCAACTTGAACCTGATCTCTATGAACCCGACAGAAGACTTCAACGATCACAAGCCTAAGGCTCCGATACTAGTTGTTTAGGTATCTATGAATAGCAAACAACAACCAAACAAGAACACTCACAAAACA